AGAGCGACGGACGAGAACTACGGACGACAGCGACAAATGACAGTGACGGATGATAGTAATGAGTGACAGTAATGGATGACAGAAATAGTGACAGTGGCCTTGGCGACGTTCACTGCGTTGGTGACGGCGCGGCGCGGCTGTAGCGTAGGCGTTCACGGGGGCCGGGACGGGGGTGGGCGCGGGCGGGGACGGCACCTCGGGTCTCGCTCAACAGCCCTCCACAGCGGCAGGCGCTCGCCGTTTTGTTCTGGAGACGCGCGCGGGCGGGCGCGCGCCTGCGCAACCGCCCCGCAGCCGCCACCTCCGCCGCCGAGAGCGCCCGCTTGCGCGCTGCGAAAGTCTCCTAGGCCACGCGGGCGATCGCGACCGTCGCGCAAGTGAGGAAGATGTCAGCGCGAGTGTTCCGTGTCGAAAGCAGTCTCCGCCACTGAGCGATGGATTGGCACATGAAGCACCCTTGTAACGTCACCGGCTGCCAGGTTATGTGGAATGTGAATGGATTTGATGTCAAAGGAGAACATTCGTAAGAAGAAAGTGTGCATCGAAATTAACGAATATTAAAACTAATTGGAGATGCCTTATTGTGAAAATCGAACAAAAACCCGGTGGAAAAAAAAGGTATTTGATGAACAAAATGAAATGAAAGACTGTTGTCATGAACAGAAAGCAGGAAATATCTATAAATTTAAAAAATGTCAAATATTCCGAAAGCAATGTTCAACTTGGGAACATAAGAAAAGTATTTTCTGCCAACAGGATCCAGCTACCGCAAATACAAAACAGACTAGTATTTACATAAAATCAGGGAGTAATCGAGGAAGGTGATGCAGTAGCACAATTGCAAAGGCGCCAATAATTGCAAAACCACGAATGGTTGTTGAAACGGCGTCTGGACGGTTTTGATACTATAACCAACTTTTAAAAGTTTTAGTTCGCCTTATTGGAACCACCATTTTTTTTTTGAAACTTCAACATCGGAAAGGTAAACAACTATCTCAAAAATCCCTATACACAAAGTTTCATCCAAATTTAAATAAAAATATAATGATCAGCTTTTAAAGTTGTGTATTTAGCCAAATTGAATCCGCCAGTTTTTCGAAATTTCAACTTCAGCTATCCCAAAAACACTTAAGCCCGATATACTCGCTACCGTTTTCGTGTTGATTGGTCCAACATGAAAACGTTCAGAGTAGACTTCACGATTTCTGCATGAAAGCTTTTGAGCATCTTCGTAATCTTCATGCTTCATTACAAAAAAATCATTGAAAGCTTACAATTTCACTCAAGCGCTTCAAGCGGCAAAATCGTTTACTAACGGATTTGTTTATCACACGCGACGGTAATCGGCCCTTTCGATTTGGTGGTCAGGTGCGTTTGTGTGACGTGATAATGTAATACAGTAGCTACGTCCCTATTCCTGCCTTCCTATTTTTCTTCTCTATTCTCTTCATGGTTAATTAATACTAAATAAAGATCAAACAGCGAAACGCACACACAGAAATACCGCAACTGAAAATACTTCGGACGGCGAAATTCCGTTGTTACCGGTCGACCCCTAGCGCCGTATATGCACGACTTTTGGTTTTTAAGTTTCCAGTTTGGAATCCTGGAGTTTTGTACAGAAACTGCATGAGAATATGCACGAAAACATCGTAAATACCTGGCTTTACATTCAAGAGTCAATTAATTTCAATAACGTTACATATTAAGAACCCTTTTCCGGTTTTGTCCCCAGTATGCGAACAAAGCTGGCGGAGATAATGACTGCGTGGCATGGAAGCGTCGTTGCAGCCGCCAGGGGCCACGAGGCAGCAGCGGGAGTAATGCGCGATCTCTTGGCCGCCCCCGAGTGGGCGTCCAGCTGTTTGCCAAACCGCCCGCGCCTCTCAGCGCGGAGAAATTTGCTACGAGTACCTTATCACATGACATGGCTCAATTCGTGTGTAGTATGTTCTTGTGGGAGCGTGAGGTAGCAAAACAAACATAAAATTGCTTGAATCGTTTTTCTTTATTTTTATTTTTTATTTTTTGCTGATGGCATTACGTCATGGATCATGGATGTTGTTAGTGGAATGGCCACGTCATCACACCAGACTCAATTTTTGACTTTCAGTAAGTCATGTGGACTGATGAGCATCTGTCATCGGCATATCATAACACATTGTGGGAATTGTTGAACTTCATTAGAATGAAAAATTGTAAAGAAAAGAAGAAAAAATATGAAGAAAAAACGAATAATTCATACGAGAACAAAGCTAGTAGAAAACTAGAAAGAAGGAAGGCAAATACTGAAGAGAGGAAACGTGAAAACAACGATAAAAGAAAAGAACAAAATCACGATCCCGCTAAACAGTCGGAAACGGAATTTACAGTAAGCCACTGGGGTATATCATTTTATAAAAATAATTTTCAAATTCAAGATGAAGAATAATTAATAGAGACAAATTGCCTCAACTGAACAACTTTCAAAATCAACTCGAAAGAAATGTATTCAAGTACAAACAGCGCAAACCATCTAGAAAGAAATATATAGATGTTCTATAAATCTAATATTTTGCGAGATACTCGTATTTTACGTGGAATTTCTGGAGGACTACCTTTCCTTTCTTTTTTAAAGCACACGATGCTCATCAGACAAAGGACAATCGGAAAGGATTTGCGAATTTTTTGGAGGAGAACGGAACACACAAGGATGTATGCGACAGTCTGCCGAGAGTATTTCTTAAACTCGCCAACCTCGAAGAGCGTGTTGATCGTGGGGATTCTGTATGGACATCCTGTTCCATTTGTGAGCCGCCTCAACACGCGAGACCTCTCATCCCCTCCCCCCAGAACACTCTTTCACGCTCCGCTCGCGGGGCGCCGCGAAGCACCCACTTGGAGGGCCCGCGTCCCCGGCCCCGGTCCCGCCCCCTGCCCGCGTGGAGGGTGGCGAAAGCCACGCAAACATGGAAATGCCACACAGCGGTTAATTCCAGCGAAAAATCTATTAAAGCCGCGCTTCGACCTCAAGAATGCCGCCTCTCTGCCTTTCCAGCTCCCTGTGTCCACGCTGTGTGTGTGTGTGTGTGTGTGTGAGTGTGAGTGTGTGAGTGTGCGCGGGCGCGCGGGCGGAGGGGCAGGTTGGTCAACCGCGGAGAGCGAGCCGCGTCCACGGTGCCCGTGTTTATTTCTTTCTACCGGCGCTTCTTGTCCGCAGGACGCTCCGCCCGCTATAAAAGCACAAAGGAGGGGCGCGTGGCGGGCAGTGCGGCGAGGCCTGGCTGGCCGACGACGGCGAACTCACGCGCCGCGGGCCATCATGAAGGTAGGTGGTAGTAGGTGGGGGTGGGGCTCGAACACTCGGGCGACGCAAGTGCGCATGCGCGCCGCGAGCCGCGCTGGGGAACAGGGCGGGCGATTGTGTGCCAGTGAAGGCGAGGGAGGGGGGTTTGTTCTAGATGTGACGCCAAACAATTGCGAGCTCCATTTGCGGGAAAGCGGCGTTCAGGGTATGCGCTGAGTTTTTTGTTTTGTTGTTGTACTTGCAAAGAATTTGCTTGATGATCGAGTTTAGATGGGAGTGTGCTTACAACCCCCCGCTCAATAATAAAAAAAATCAAATATATTAAAATATTATTTTTAATTATACATAATAATTTCATTAATAATTGTAAAAATGTATTAATTTAAATTATAAAGAAACGTAATACGTTCAAAACGAATTATTCATAATTTAAAATAAGTCCTGAATATAAAATTATTTACAGCGACAATGCAGATTAACATAAATGTCTTTATAATTGTAATTCCGCCGCACATCAAGAGAGAACCTTCAATTTGTAAACTAATAAGAATCAATGATTTCTAATCCAGTTTTCAATTTTGTACTCGTTCTTAGGTGCTCATTGACAACTGATTAACACGATAATTATAACGTAGTATATTCCGGATGCAAAAACAGCATTTTGACATTTGAAGATTTTAGGGGTTCCAAAGTTTGGTCATAATCTGTTCATAGGACTCACTGACTTCGGGTACGTAGAATCAATTATTTAAAATTTTCGGATTTTCCAAATTTTTGGTATTTCTTTTCTATGTCGTAGGCCAGCCCGGGGGTTTTTGGATGCATGTTAATAATAGGGTTATCACTAAAAGTTCTGAACTATGTTGTACTCTCGGGCATCATATTTTTTAATATAATACATGTTTATATAATTTGAAAAAATTTGTGATTATGTCGTTGCATTAGTTATTCTATTTTTTTATAAATGTCATGGGAATAAAATAGATAGGTGTTAATATTTTAGTTTATATATTCTAACATTTTTATCGCTTTCAGAAGACAACATATGTTGTAGAAATATTATTTCAGTACATAAGTTGTTTTTTTTATAAGAAATCCTCCCTATTAAAACTGATTTTCATGGCACTGTCAAAAAATTCACAAATGTAGAAGAAAATACCTTCAATACCCCATTCATTTGTCGTGTGGACTAAAATGAGGTGCAATGAACGGAAACAATTCATATAAAACGTTTTAGGAAGGAAAAAAGCATATATTGGTTACATAGAGAGAACTTTAACTCACACTGTTGAAATTCCCGCGAAAACAATGGCTTTCGGCATATTATTAACTTTAAAATAACTTCTGATGCACATCTTAATATTTTTATCTCAAATGGCTCCTCACCCATCGTGAAGAAAATGAAATTGATTAAAAACGAATTGTTGCCATGATTTTCTTAATTTGGATACCACACAACAATAAACGATCTAGAAAATTGAAAATAGTTATTCTTAGTGTACACATTTATTCCCATAATTTTGGTAAAGCAACTATTGAGTAATGAAGTTACTATCCAGTTTGTAAATCCAGGAAATACTAATTTGGATTTCATATAATATACAATAAAAACATTTTTCTCTTCCAGATATCGATTCTATCAAGATGTAGAGCACTGTGGCTTTTGGCGATATTTATTTCGCTGGTAGACGCGAAACCTCAGGGATATACCTACCCTGTGCCTACGCAATCTAATGGCACATTTATCTCGACGAGCACGAGTACCGAGGAAGTGGAAGACTCTGCAAAAGAAACCACTACAGTATTCAGTGGATATACAACTAAGGATAAAGAAAACTCTGCAGCTCTTGCTGAGGGTATTGTCGTAACAACTGAGAGCACCTCAGAAGAATCGGAAACCACCAACCCGAGCACTGAAGAAAGCGATAATACTGTAGAAAACAGCTCAGAAGAATCAACAGAAAATGTAGTTCCAGATGAAACTACAGATAAACAGGAAGCTCCATCTGCAACAGAGGAAACATCGGGAAACGAAAATGAATCTGGAGACATTCAAGAATCCACCACTCCTTCAGAAGGCTCAGAAACTACGACTTTAATATCTGCCCCATACCCTCCTTCGGGATCTCGCCCATCAGGTTCTGAGTTTTCATATGACGTACGAGATCTTTTCCCTGGGACGAAACAAGCAGTGTCTACTACAGCTCCGCTGAATCAACCACTTCCTAATGAAAATCTCTCATTTCAACCACAACTTGATCCACGAGTTGGGATTCCTTTTCATCAAGAACCCGCATATTTGATGAATCGCCTCACAAACTCGGCAAGGCGTGCTCTTGTAAGTGCTGCTCCGCAGCAATCGTACTATTACCAAACTCCTCAGCAGCAAATGTGGTTTAACTCCTACCCGCAGCAAACACTTGTCAATAGAAATTTCCAATCGCAGAGGTTCGTCATGCCGTTTTCTTCAAGACCGTTCCGTGCGCCGGCACCATATCCGCCTTCCAGGTCTAGCTACGACCAGAGGTTCAGCTCCAGCAATGTGGTCGCGCAACCGTATTACCAACGCAGTGGCAACGACAACCATGTAAGTAAATATCTTCACAAAATGAAACAACTCTCTGTGACTATTCTGTCCTTTCAAAACCGGCTCATTCTTCACTCGAAACAAATATGAGATGAGTTATTACGTTTCTGAATACATGAATGCGCGAAATGCCGCACAGCACCTTGCATTGACATTTTATTGCGATATTAAGAACGGAAGATTTGGAAATATTTATACATTGCTCGCAGTAAATGTAAGCAGTAAAATAAGGAGAATTTATTAGTAGATATCTTGCTTAGATATATATCGTTATAACTCGAGATCCTTATTCAATTGCAAACATGGGAATAAGGGCCCTGAAAAGAAACCAGATGGCAAACCGCAACTAAGTGTGTGTGTGTATGTGTGTGTGTGTGTGTGTGATCTGACTTAATCGAACGTAACCTCGTGACGTAATAAATACAACCTATATTTTTGCATTATTTTCGTTTGAATATTTACTCTCACTCTCCACATAATCACACTAAGGTTTTAGTTGAATTTCGGGCAAGTTCTGTTAATGTATTTGGGCATCATATTCGTTTCAACGAGTCACCCAGAAAGAAGAATAGTTTTATTGACTTATCGTGTCGGTTAGTTGGAGGAGAAGCCGCCATTGGCCTCGACTATGCACCGGGATTTAGAATCCACGCTTTTCTCGAAACTCACCATGGGAAGGAAACCCATATTGTGTAGAATTCCTCCTCTTGGGCGGAAAATATCATCTATCCGCGGGGAGGGGGGATATGCATTTTGCACTGAAATGAGGTTTGTCGCCTGCGGAGTACTCTATGAGCACCAGGCGAAGAAAGGACAGAAGGGATCAATTTTCTCACTGCTAGAAAGAATAGTTTGTTTTCCTGTCGCTTGCTCATCCAAAATTGAATTCTTTATGTTGTTCCACGTCGACTAAAGTTACCTGTGAAGATACCTTTCGTAACGTCTGACCTTTTTCTTCAATTTGCGCGAAACGTTTGTCCTCGGTGGCAGGTTTTCTCGTGGCGTATCTGATAAAACTGACCCTTCTATCGGGTCTAGGGTAGGAACGGCGCTTGTGTACCCCTTGCAGGGCACAGATCTGATACTTTTTCCGACAGATGGCGGTGTTTTATCAATATTAACCGAAATGTTTGGTATAGGGAATGGAAAATCTCGTTTGAGCAGAAAATTCTAAGAGGAATTTTATTGTGTCGAAAACCTGCGAAGGCTCTTTTACATGGTACATGCATGACGAACCAGTTCAGTATTATGTCAAAAAAAATTACCGCCGATAGCCGGAATCGAACCTGAGAACTTGTATCCTAACGTGCTAGCCCGAGTTTCATTGGAGGGAGCACTCGAACAGAGGAAACTCTTTTTCATGAAAGTCAAGGATCTGAAATTCTTGTTCTGTTCAACCGTTCTAGATATTACCTGAGATAAAGAAATAAACAGACGAAATTAATTGATTAACTAATTAGAATAATTTAATGATTGAATTTACAAATGTCAATAAAATAACGATATGAGATTTCAAAAGTGCGGTTCTTTTGAAATCAGAAACAGAAACAACAGTTCTCTATACTCAGAAGGTAGATACGTAGATCTCTCTCTTCTCCCGTTCATTTAACAATTTTATTTGCAAAGAGCAAAATTAATTCCAACGATATGGACAGCACTAAATTTAAAGAGTGCTAAATCGCGGTGTGTTTTCGACTTGTGCGAAATTCGTAGGTAACCAATTTACTTTTTGACGAGTCTTGTTTTATCCTTATCCAATTAGTGTCCTTCAACCTATAGTTGGTTGCCCATCATTCTCCTCTTTCCAATGGCGATCCTATTGTTGTTGATACGAATTCTATCGCCCTTGATCGCACATTTGTCAATCTACAGAAGGATACTTGTCCATCAATTCTCGGTTAATTACTGAACAATCATTAACGTACGGTCAGTTAGACATTACTATAGTCGATGTTATTTGTGAACCACTTTACAACTCTATATTGCATGGCCTACACATCGCCAATCAATTAGTTAATTGAGTCTACAGTATTTAACAACCAACTCTTCCCTCCACAGATATTATAAGACCTCCGAAGCTGACTTTCAATTTCCGTGCTTCTGCAGTTCTGTTTTTAACTTCGACTTTTTGAAGAAAAGGTCAACGATTATCGAACTGTAATTGTAAAAGTTATCTTAAGACACGCTAATTAAAATGTATTGCTATTACTATTACCATTCACCGTCGCATTGCAAACAGCGAAAACAAGACAAGTCAGTAGGTCGTGAATTAGTAAAACGGGTCATTTAGTAGATACATGCCATAAGTATAAATATTCTATGTTAAACAAGATAATTATTGCAAAAGTACTATCAGACAGTAATCTCATTCCATACTTACTTATATTGCACAATTCAGTACAAGTCGAATTTGTAAATATCCACTGTTTATAACATAAAAACTTATTTCGCTGCCAATTTGCGAAATGTTTAATTGTACAAGTATTTAATTACCAATATTTTTTTTCATATTCACATCTTCTAATATTATTTTTATATCTGTTTCTTCATTACATTTATTTTCATCGTACCCTTTTCCTATGTAATTTATGCCTTACTCGTTTCTTCAAGAACTTGAATGCACGTGGCCTTCGGATATGTTATTTCGGAAGGTAATGAGTAATGGTTCTCAATTACTCTCTTGCATTGCAACTTACAGCTTTCTTAATTACTTTATAGGGTACAATACATTTGCGAACAACTTCCTGAAACTCCTCTGAGCAGAAAAGTATATAATACTGCAGTTTAGCAGTGACACCAATTGGAATTTCACAATTGCTCATATTATACACTCTTTTCAATTATCCGCAATTAATAGACCAATTATAAAGAAAGATATAATTTCCCATTAGGTATTTCCAAGATCAAGCAATATCTGAATTCACAGATACTTATTACTCATATTACAGCCATTTCATGACATCAAATCCTTCTGCTTTATTCTTAAATTCAGATCTACAAATGAATAATTGGAAGGTTTAATTCATCTGAACTATCTATAATACATATCTAATCATTTGTCTCATTTCACCACAATTTTGAAAACTAATTCGACAAAATAAGAGATCTTTGACGTATGACAATCGAACACAATGTGAAATAAATTGCAAGTAATAAATAGAGGTTCTGACAGAAACCCAATTGCTTTGTAACAACCATGTTTCTACAATGTCAAGGAAAAAAGAACATTCAATATTGTAGATAAGAAAGAACATTGCAGTTACCAGAATATGAAGTAAAACTGAAACAAAAATTTCTTCCTCTTGAGTTATTGTGTTATCGGACTGGCTTGATGAAGAGTACCTGATATATTTCATGAGAGTTCTTCAATCTTCATTTTTAATTATCTCTGTTAAGTTCATGAATGTCTCAAAGAGAAACTAGGAGTAAATCGTATTATTTAATAATACTCTTCAATCTCGTTTATATAAATATTTGTTTCTAATCTTCTCTGTAAATTCACAAACCAGATTTATCTGTATAAATTGGCACTATCTTTTGAATAATAAGCTTCATTTTAATGTTAAAATTGTTCTTCAAACAAAATGAGAACTAATTTTAATAACGGTAAGGCTAAATATAAGATTGTTATAAAGAGTTTAGAACTGTGTGAGCATTTTCTTCCTTTTTTATTTCACAGGATGCTTAAGACTGGTGTTGGACACATATCTATATTGCAGAAACTACATTAGTTCAGGTATAAATCACAGCACAATGCATATAGAATTACTAGTATTGCATTAATTTTTTATTTTGTAGTAAAAAAACGCCAAACCTTTTCAATCAAACCGAAATATACATTCATTGCAGAGAGAATACTCCGGTCTTAAAATATATTTCTGTACCCCACAACAGCATTTTACAATACCTCTCATCCACAATATACTCATTTATGCACGTCATATTATTTGTTCAGGAAGCAGAGGGACTTTTAATTATATACACTTTTATGTCTTGCCTTCTTCCTCAATCTGTGCCCATATTCATGAACTAAATTATGGTAGATTGTTTTACACATATAGTTATTGTGCCTGGTTTTGATGTTCAAAATAAAAGATTTTAATATAATTTTAATTACGGTTTAGGAATATTTTGACACAAGTAAACAAACAACAAACAAACAAACAAACAAACAACACAAATAAACAAACGAAATTCAATCGTATATACGTACGATCAGTCCACGTTAATACAACACTGTACATCTGTACATTTTATGGATTAAAAGTCACCATCTTTTCTTATATGAATACTCATATATAACTTACAACTGCGCTTGTTTTATTTGTTATTCTTATTTCTGCGTGTTCTTTATCAGATCATCATTCATTCTGTCGCTCCTTTTTCTCTACTTAGCACTTGTCTCTCCGTAGGAAATACAGTCTGGCAATTCTTACAGCATTTTCCCCGTCATAGTGACGACGCATATTCCAGTATTTTCCTTCAGATCTCCCAGATGCGCATTGCTCTTTCGTAACCCTGTTTCGAGCTTCATGTTTAGCATCCTGTTCTTCTGAACGTTTTCATCCAAGCAACACTCACAGATTTTTATATGCTTACGTTGTTTGCTCTTTTTTAAATTTCCTTTTTTAAAATTTCTTTTTAAAATTTAAAGTTCTTCTACTAATTCACCAAAGCTTTATCCGTTGTAGGACGAGCCTCGATACGAGTTCCAGTTCGACGTGGGCGCACCGCCCTACGGGCCGTTCTTTGGCCACCAGGAGCATCGCATTGGGGAGGAAGCTAGAGGGCAGTACTACGTTGTGCAGCCCGACGGCCGCAAGAGAGTCGTGCAGTACGAGGCGGGGCCCCAGGGCTACAGGCCCTCCATCAGCTACGAGGCCTCCATCGACTACCAGGACTACCCATAGTGCACCCACTTGTCAACTACCGGTGGCAATTCTGTACATATTTTATTTATCTGCATCGGCTCCCGCTGTCACCCACGATACTAATAAAAAACAATCAAATACCTGTGTTTTATTTAAAAAGTGCGAATAAATGCTTTCCCATGAATCCCTATTCAATCACTAATTATATTCAGTGCGCTATTCACCATGTTTACGGATTATTTTGCTACATCAGGATTCACATTTATCGCCAGCATGCTGGGTTTAATTTAATATCTTGTTAAACTGCATATAAATCTTGTAAATGTAGTACATACGAACTGTTTATATGAACACACATAATGAACATACATGATATACAATGCTTGATAATTATAAGTCAAAAACATTTCAAAACTATACTAAAAAAAACAAATATTTTCTGAACAAGTTACAAAACGTGAAATTATAAATATATTTTCGAACCCTACATGTTCTATAAATTTTATTTGAAAATAACTACTATTGTGGTTTCTATGTTAGTCCAATATTAGTACAACAAAATAAATTAAAAAAGAGAAGAGTGTCGAAATGCACTTATGAATCATAAACGTCAATGTGGCTATTTTAAAGAAAAATATGTATTTATTATTTATTTATGTCGTATCGACGAGTGGGTCTTTAGCTACTTTATGTATATAGAATTGTAATGGAAAATTTGTGGTTTCTAATATACTTATAAAGCTTTTAATATGCAGTTACATTACCAGAATTTATTATTATTATTGTTATTATTATTATTATTATTATTACATGCCATATTCAATGAAGCACTTCAATGTTGGTAGGGGACAGTGAGAGGTAGTATTTAGTTATAACTTGAGTTTAAGTTGAAATTACTAATAGTCTCTCTGAGCAACCATATTTACATTGCGTATTACAGATTTGCATTTTCTCTTCATAGGGAAGATAATACCTGACTGATTTTCTTGGCCTTCCATTGAGGTTCACGTGCTCTCCAACATAAAACAAGCTTTTTCTCAAAACTGCACCTATGTAACTTATGACCGTTTCTTAGTGAACTCTTTAATTTTTCATATTGCAAGGTATAATCTTTTTATATCTATTCGGTAATTATTTATCTCTATTAAAATATAGAAACAGATGCGCAAGACAGGCGTTTATGTGTTGATGTTTTTGACACGAAGTATTAATGAGTTAAATAGGAGGATCCTATTCTTAATGAAGCTAAAATGGATTTAAGTTTTATGATTTTTATAAGGGGTTGGTGTTCCCACGCAGTGAGACGAATCATGTGTAGTTTCAGTCTTGAGTTTCTCCTGAGATTATCCATTGATTAATTACAGCCAAATTTGTCTTTCTACCCTGATAGATTATTATGTGCAAGCGATGGGGAAATAACCTTGAGATAATATTTTTTTACTGAATTTGCATTTTCATTACCTGATATCACTTGATAAGACGAACACCTGTTCACACTATAATACCATTATGTATTGTAGTTGTTTTGTAATAATTGGATTTTTATACGTTTTTCTAATGCTATTAATCTATGTTTAATGGAATATGACCGTTTCCTCAAAGCTAAAACATTATTCTTCAAAAAATATCATGATTATTTTTTACCTAATTTCTGACAAAAGTTAATTATATATTTCTAATATCAAATCAACGAACACTATTTATTCATCATTTAGGACATGGCATCAAAATATGAAGATGAAAATATTATCCGTCTTGCAATTATCTATATACCTTATTACGTCAATCTTTAAATGAGAGATTGCTCTTACTGTTCTCTTCAATTTTCTATCATTTGGAGATGATAACATTTCTGGTAAGCAATTAATTATTAAATTTCAAATTATTGTTAGTTAGATTTATATAACAGTTTTTAAAATGACCACTGAGCATCAACTATAATATTACATACAGTTGTATATACAAAGGTGGATACGCAGTAGTGAATAACAGCGACGTGACAAAGTAAGTAGTGAATTATGGAACTTGCAGCTTAATATATGGGACATCGCCCATGTAAATAAATGGAAAAATGATTTCACGGCATTAGATGCCCCGGCATTCAATCAACGCATCGTAGAACTCAAGTCTTCTTCCCTACCCGAAAAGCTTCCTACCCCTTACTACTTGATCTTTCGTCTCTCTTGCAGACAGGCGAACGGCTCGTAAGTGCAGAATGCCCGCGGGAACTGGCGTTGTGCAGGCCTGCTCTATTGTATCTGTGGCTTTCCCCGCGAAGGCTTTACAGAAAAACATTGAGAAAGAATATAAAACATTGTGGTGGAATGTTTTGAAAATATATATTTTACGAACATTATTACATTTTGGGCTATATAATAAAAGCAATTCAAATGTACGGTTCTTTAATTTTAGCTTTATACCCCTTTTTTTGAAGAAGACATTGCAAATAAATCGAGAAAACAAACACGAAAGTATTATTTCCTCCTTTATTCATCTTTTCTCTTTTGACGGCAAAAATTAATTTTACTTAATATTGTACCATTGTTTAGAACTGTTTTATTATTACGCTTTCATAATCCTTATTATATACCACAAGCGTGTTAGTCATAATACGCTATTGAGCAGTCTTTCATTTTCCTCCGTTAATTGTAAGTTAAGAATACATTTTTTCAGCATATTGAATCACGTACTGCCTCGGTAAAGATCAGTTTTGTGGGGGAAAATATCGAAATACTGAATTAAGAGAAACGTAACAATGTAAAACGAAACTTCGACTAAATGAACTCTCCGCCTACATATACCCTTACCCAGTTCTACATAGTATTATGCAAATCTTTGTAAAATCAGTGGACTCAACAGATACAAAATATAGCTGTTAAAAGAAGTAATGATTGTTTCTCTTTGCTTGGAGAACATTCTCGGGCATGAACTGGCGCTCAGAATAGAATAAATTGACATCCTCTTTTTTTTCAATTAATTCACTCCTCTCCACTCATGAAAATACAAGTTAAAATATATTATTTTGGACGTATTTGGCACCTTTTCTTCACTGGATCAAAAATGGACTTATTTTAAGATTTTTTACTCGTGTACTTTGCTGGTCACCGACAACGAGATCTTCAGAATAATCTAATTGTATAATCAATGATTCGCATTTTTCTACTGAGAGAAAGCAATAGAGTATATACAGAGAGCGTGTGCTTGAACGGGAGCATGAGCGTGATTATGAGCGTGATTATGAGCGTGATTATGAGCGTGATTATGAGCGTGATTATGAGCGTGATTGTGAGTGTGATTGTGAGTGTGAGACTGAGCGTGATCGGGAGTGTAAACGTGTGTGAGAGTGAGAGGCTGGGAACGAAGATCAAGAATGCAGAAGAGCAGACAGAAGCTCACCGACATGGGAATTCTAAACCAGATTTGCAAATACTTATAGGCACAGGAATCACAGAAAAGCAGACAAACGGTTCAACAAAAAGAAAAGAAACACCAACTGGAAATGTGAAGGGATTTTCTTTAGATAGTTCTACGCCATATCTAATTCATTCTGAAGAATAAGAAAAAGGTTTCCATCCGACATTCTTTGTCACAGAGTAAAGAATGTCTCCGTAGTACAGTCTCATTTGTTACACTAGCATTACAATACTCGCATAAAATGTAATAATCAATACACATACATCAATATTTTAGAATAATGTATTACATTAGTATGTTAGTGTTTTCTTATTTTTGCCGAAAACATGGCGTATGACAATATAGAGCGGAGATCTTTACATGAAAGAGAAGCAAATGTCCCGATAGATTCGTAATTAATTTTGAGTAAAAGACATTTGCACAAGAAAAGTAAGCAACAACTAATAAGATTTCTGCTTTTCAATCAGGAAGAATACAACGACCTTGAAACGCATGAATGAACATGCTTGAGGCCGCCGGCGTCGCCGCTTAGTTGTGAAGTCATGAACAGCCCTCAGGCTGCGCTCTAACGGGAGTGAAAGTTTCACTTGGCTCATCCAAATCTATGATCCATTTAATCTGAAAAGTAGTTCAAGGCAATGCCATGAGCCTCAGCAGCGTCCTGTCACAAGTGACAGTTCATAAGAACATTCAATATCCTCAGCTTCAAGAAGCAATCTAGGTCTCTTCGGCTGTAGGTTTAATGAGTGTGAGAGTAGCAGAGTAATAACAGTCACTAGATTTAATTATGGTCTAATTACTACTAATGTGGTAACTACATAAGTTCATTATTTATTGATTGTCCCTCACTTCAATGTAACTTTCAACTACAGGAGTCAAATAAATCATTCTTAATGTGAGTTTTCAGTTTGTTGGAAATCAGCTGCCGAACATCTCTCTTCCTTAATCTCGCTGTCGACGATTAAGCAACGCTGCTTCATGAAAGTGAGCAGTAGCTCAATCCGCATCCTTGGGATACTTCTGCAAGCATCCCGCTCCAGACCAAGGTCGCCGGAGCTATCCGTCAATAGCGCCGCACTTTCACCGGCAAAGACGAACGTGGATCCAGCCGGCGGGCAAAACGGTAATGCCGTAATAAGGTAGCGTCGAATGGCCAAATCAGCAAATGCTCCGCCAATAGCTCGTGATGAAGCATACTAAATCTTCTAAAAGTATAAATGAATTCGACTCCAAAATAGTGCTAAATTCATTGTTGTGTTGAAATCATAAAACATTTACTTGCTTTTGAACATACATTAGTATTGCAAAATGTAAGTTCGCGTACCTGAGCAAATTATTTGAGGAAAATGAATATCTTGAATAAGGTAGAATAATTATATCCAATGTACTTCAGATTTTAATTGAAACTTTAGAATCAGTGCAGTTTTTGTATGAATCGGCACGAGGATATCTTTACTGAAGAAGGTGAGAAATCACACATAAATGGCAAATTAAATAGAAATTTGTGTTTCTGATCTTCTTAAACATAACATCGTAGATTGCTCTATAATTCAATTCATGCAACAAAATGTATATCATGTGCAGTTATAACGGTAACATTAAAAAAATGTAATCAGCCATTGTAAAAGAGTTAACACCAACCGGAATGAGAAAGACATGTTGCTGAATTAGAGATATAGCGGGTGAAAATTGCTACGCTACCTGAGAGGACGTGGTTGAAGGAAGTAGCCAAGAAGAGATTGAACTTTCCGAAGGCTGAAGTACTTCAACTGTGCTTACTAAGTTGCGGTTACGAACCATGAGAGTATATCATGCGTGCACTGACGCGAAACCAAAAAGAACATGGGTGAGTACTATTGACATTGAGTAGAGAAGTAACGAAGGTTAAAATGTAGAGGATACCTGAAGTCGGTTACAAGGATGTTAATATTCCCTTTTCGTTAAGCATTTCACATCGCATATTTCAGACACCCATGATGAATTTAATAACTTCCTCTTCATTTTATTCCAAGTGCAGTCCCTCTTAAGGCATCCTTCACGAATATTTCAGTTCCAATACCACTTTGGAGTTTGACCAGGAATATTTTTATCATGTATTGACTGTATATTTCGATATTTGATTGTTATTTTAATATGTTGGTTATTATTCTGCAGAGTTTCATAAACACATTTCATTTTATAATTTACGCGAAAAGTAAATAATAATGGAAAAATTTACTTGAACAGCAAATATTCAGTAGCAGAGCTAGCACTAAGGGTTTGCCGCAGCGTCCTATGTACAACGTTTAAATCAAATTTGTGATTTGCACTAAATTTATTAACAACTAATTACTCTGTAATTCTGATTTTGAGCATAAACAATGAATAAAAACAAAACGCAATTAAAAATAATTTTTGAACATAAATAAGTAACTTACAATAAAGAAAGTTCTCAACATGTTTTGTCCCCGGACTTCTAAAAATTGACTTTGCCGTAGCTGTAATTGGAAGAACGTAAGTGCCCTCGACGCAACGAAGAGCAAGTGTGTGTGAACTTGGAAGCTATTAGCTGCCATGATTCCATTCATCATCCCGCGGACAACGTTGATTGGTTAATGAGACGTGATGCGGAGGCCTCTCACTCTATTCAGGAGCCCTGAGGGCAGAACATCTCCGTTTTTGTGACTCGGTGAGGCAACTAGGAGCGTTGCTACTCGAAGATCGAGTGCCCTGTTGAAACGAAAAGCTCCGAAATCCAGTTTCTGCAGTGTTGCAAGAGTGATGGACGAATATGCAGAATTGTGAAGAAGTTTCTAATTATTCAATGATGAAAGAGCTCAACACATTTCTGAAGAGTTTACGTCTGACGGATATGAGAGTTTACTGCATGTATTTAGAGAACTTATCAGAATTTTTGAAATCTCTGAATAGTATGTACTGAAGTCAAGAGAAATGAATAAATAAAAGTGTTACATAGATAATATCACCCTCAGCATTTTGAAACTAATAATAAATAAGGCTAATTTAGGGTTTTAAAAATTTGCCGTCACCTCATTAGAATAATTTAAGATATTTTACACAAATATTGTAGTCAGTAGAAAACAATTCCAATTAAAAGTAGTCATATAATCGACAGTGTTTAACAATTTTATCTCTTTCACAAAATTCATTTTTGTTGGGTCATACATCAATCTTTAATATTATTTGAAAGATATTCAAAATTATTACTAGCAAAATTTTTCAGGAACAAAAATTATTTCCCACAAGAATATGATCGCTTTTGCTGATATCACTCACTCTTTTTTTGCCTAAGAGGTACAAAGTAAGAGATTAATATTTTCAAAATATCTTAAAAGTTGAAGATGACAACCTCAAAAATTCTGTTGGTCTCAAGTCTTTTCAAAATTTCTAAAAGTGTTTGAAAATTTCAAATTTAAAAGTTTCATAATAAGTCAATTCACCATTTCAGAAGAACAATTAACGAGAATGAGCAACTTCAAACTAATAAGAGTTTGAAAGCAAATCCCAATTCCGTCTCCCCTGAACCGACCTGTTGTTCGCACACGTTTGTGCCGCCATCATAAGCAAGCAAACAACAATACACATCCGGAGTCTTCGCTCGGGCACACAGACCTTGGCTAAAGATAACCGTGATTCAGGCCACTCGGGAGCCGTCTGGGCGGGCGACCGGGCGCCCGCAGAAGACGTCTCTGTTGAGAGGCTCATTGTGCTAACCGCTCAACGCGCGCCGTGTCGCGGCCGTTTGCACCGGGTCAGTTGCCCCACGTCGCCTCTCGTCCCACCCTGGCCCGCTCCGCCCACCCGCCCACTCCACGCGACCACTTGAAGCGCCCTCGCCAAAGATGCCGCCAAATATCCCACGTTGGCGACGACCTTCTGTCGACCCCCGACTCAGCGATTGCCACCGACCGAAGCCATGCGCCGAGGGCTTTGCTGCCGCTAGTGCCTTCAATGCCATCATCAGCATCACCACCTACATTGTTATATATACATCACATTCTGATTATTTTCGAAGATTTACCCTCAAGGTATATCCTACATCCGTGGCACCGTCACATTCGGGACAAGCTTAAAGCTTCCGTCATGTAGTGTAGTGTTTGTAAGTGTAAATGTCAGAAAAGGGGGAGGAAGGAAAGATCGCGCGCAGTCCGTGGCTTTTTTGATTGCTTGATTAGTAATTCCGCGTGCTTCACCTGCTAAGGTCATTAGTCCCGGAAGTATAGCGTATGATTTTATCGCGAGGGTGGCAGGGATCTTTCCGAACTGGATAGCGAGATCCGGCGTCAACCTATGTCGGCTTGCGGGGATTTTCCTCAACTAGGTATCTTCCACCTGAGGAACACCGCTCCAGCAGGGACAAGCTCCTAACTGGTCCTCCGAAAAGTGTGGTAGTATAGTGCATATAAGTGTGTATAAGTGGGGAGTAGGATTGAGCAGGGAATGGGAAGGAAAGATCGCGTGTGTTCCTGACCCATTTGTTAGAGTCCTGCTCCTGTGTTCACCTGATGTTGATCGGAGAAAGCACGAAAAACTACAAATCGGAGCAGCCGGTCGCTAGAACTCCCCCAGACAACGGTTGAACTCTTAATCTGTGTAGCCAATTCTCCACCAGGCAACAGCTGAATTCTACTTAATCTGTGTAGCGAGCGTTAATCCTCCCGGTCAGAGGCACTGTAGTGACACCAATTGATGCCCTGCGCCATGCCCTCGACCAGGTCCTCCGCCCCCCGCTCAGCGCGACCCGTCCGTGTCGGCGCCGCGCGACCTCTCGCAAGAGCGTCCGGCGCGATGCTAATCAGTCCACCCGCGCTCCGCCGCCCCGCGCCGCACCGCCCCGCCCCGCGCCGACCCCGCCCCGCGCCGCGCCGGGCCGTTGCGCTTGGAGATCGTGCGGGCGGCCAAACACTCGGGCGCCGCCGCCTCGAGAGTTCCTTGTTTGGCGAGCCCTAATAGCGGCGCGCGGCCCGGGAGTCGCCAAACAAGCGGCGCGACCAAGAGGCGGCTGGGGAGATGGGGGCGATGACGCTGGTACTGGGTATAATGATGATGGTTGTGATGATGTTGGTGGTGACAAAACTACTGATTATGGGCCTTGTAGTAATGATGGTGATGGGAAAGAGGATGATGTGGTGGTGGAAGCGGCGGGATTGGAGAGGATGGAGGTGGTTCTCATGGTGATGGAGATAAAGTGGTTGTTATGGTAATGGTGATGATATGGGTGGTAGTGGCTGCAGGATGATGGCGGTTTTAGTGGCGACGGTTCCTGTGGTCGGGCTGTGCTGGCGATAGAGGTAGTGTTAATGGGGTCAAAGTCATAATGATGAGGTCTTGTAGTGGTTGTTATGGTGGCGATTGTGACTGTGATGTACCCGTAGAGGTGGCAACAACAGGAGCGGTCAGAATAAAGGATGTAGTACTGGCAGTGATGGCAGTTGTGGAGGTGGTGGAGGTGGCGATGGTGGCGTACGCGGGGTGGGCGGCGGCGGCACCGGAAGTGTTGGTGAAGCGACGGTGATGATGGCGAGAAGGGACACAGTAGCGGTAGCCATTGGCGGGTCCGGAGGTGTGGGCGGCTGAGAGGGAACGTGTGATCAAGTAGGAGTGGAGAGCGGGCGGTGGTCGGGGCGGGGTCGGAGCGGGTGGTCGCGGCGGGGGTCGGGGCGGAGGTCGGGCGGGGGTCGGGGCGGGGTGTGGAGCCGGGGCGGTTGCGGAGAGCGAGGTCGGAAGAGCGGCACGGACGGAGCGGGACGGAAGAGCGGGACGGATGAGCGGGGCGGAGAGCAGGGGCGGAGAGCGGTGGCGGAGAGCGGGCGGTAGAGCGGGGGCGGAGAGCGGGCGGAGAGCGGGGCGGAGAGCGGGGCGTGAGAGAGACGGAGCGGAGAAGAGCGGTGGCAGAGAGAGCGGTGTGGCAGAGAAGGAGCGGTGGCGGGAGGAAGCAGGGGCGGAGAGCGGGGCGGAGAGCGGGGCGGAGAGCGGGAGTGATTAATGGCGGCAACAATGGCAGCGTTACGGATGGTGAGACGCGTAGACTGTGGTAATCGCGGCGGTGGCGGTGGTAGTGGTGGTTTGAGACACTGGCAATGAGAAGGGCAGTGTCGTGGGCGGCGTTGTTGGCGAAGTTGTTGGCGGCGAGGCGTGCGGAGGAGACAGCAACAGTGGTGGTGTGGGCTGCGAGGGCGGTGGTGGCTTTAGACGAGTTTCGCGAGCGTGCGAATGTCTCCATAGGACCCTCTTTATGTTGCGTCATGTTTGCGCGCGTGCCTGAAGAGCCCAGCGCTTAGCTGTTCGAAATTTTAAGCCGCCAATTTGGAGCTTCTCAGTCTCTCATTGGTGTTTAAGAACTACTACTCCGTGATTATTTCCATATTAAGTTGCACCGAATTTTTGGAACTATGATGTAAGATGAGAAAGAACATTCGACAAATTTCTTCTCTTCCTTGTGACTCTCTCCTCATTATCTCATCAGAATTCCCATTAAGATCTCATTTTATATTTTGAACACCCGCAATGTAAATATGACATATTTATTTTGATAATCATCCGTATATTATAGGTAAATAAAACTGACTACAAAGATCAAAGAACGGAGACAATATGTACTCTGAGAAATAATTCAACAATGTATTCAACCAATGACATTATTATTTTCCATTCTCGTTCCACGTGTTACATCATGGCATTATTTATTATTCTGTTTTACAGCTGTTTCTTGTTTTAAACATGAATAGAGACTAGAATAATATCCAAATTTTATATCAATGAATGACCTAAAATTCAGTGAAAACTGAAGAAAACGTAAGATAAATTAATTTTTTTATATTTCTGAATGTAGCGTGAATATTTGCATATAGCTTGTATGTTTCTGAATGCAGAACGTAGAATATAGTCATTAAATACAGTAAAAATGGGAAACAATCATATACTATTTTCTCATAATTTTAGAGAAATAAAGCCGTCTCCTTTTGGTTCAATACTGCACAGTAATACACTCAACAGTAATACCACGTACCAAGTACTCAGATACTTTCATTATTTGAAGTGGCATCAAAAACAGATCTTATTTCATCATTTCAAGGTGATGTAAAACATAGGAAATGAAGTGTTCCATCACTTTCCAATAGAACACTTCTTACCAAGTGAATTAATAATAAAAAAACAAAACATAAATTGCTTCATGTAATTACGAGTAACAGCATGTTAAATGAGAGAGGTTCCTCAGCAGTGAGTAACGAGATTAAATTAGGACAGACGACAAGTGCTAAATTCCATTCAAGACTGCGGAGAGGTGTGGGGAATTAAAATGAATCTTCTCGTAAGTAGGGGACTCGAGAATAACTCCCTGGCGCTGTGTGAAAGGACGGACGGGCTGACAAGACGCTGGTCAAATTATGCTTGTTAGGAAAGAAGACCCCAGGTGTCCACGCAGGCTACCGTTGTCTAGCGATCGTACGTATTTCAGTAATGACCTGCAGAGTGAAGAGATGCAAGATTAATGAAACATATCAAAAGTATAATCAAAATGTTTCCTCTCATTGTAAAAATTCAGTATGATTACTGAGAATGTCAAGAGAATGCATCTCTTGAGCTTAATTGCTATATCGAAGGGGATAATAAAGTAATATATAAATGGCCAGTGATCTCCACGTTTTCTAACCATTCCTCAACAATGTTTGGACTTCTTTGTAAGTTCTAATTGTTTTTGGAAGAATTCAGAATCAAGACAAAAGCTACGTCATTGAATTTGTTAAAAGCGATAATTATGAAATGAAATAAATGTCCCGAAAAGAATAATAGCACTGTGGTATTGCTGAATAAAATATGAAAGTCCGTGTGCAATGATGTTGCATCCAAACAAATTCAAACAAAATGCGGATAACTGCCGTATGGAAACTCAGAAAAGGAGAGATATCAAACATCAATGTACTCGGCGCCGACGAATCAAGAATGTTGAAGGTGTATTATAAAGCAAACAATCTTAATGCACCGTGAGTGGATGTGGATTCAAGTACAAACTACGTATTATAGTTCGTATAAAACATGCCGCACCACTCGTGACGAGCATATCACGGATGGAGAAACCTAATGTGTCTCTCGTCCAGCAGATGTCATCACACTCGGCTGAAGTGAGCGTTTACAAAAGCACGGGGAGCGCGCCAGTGAATATCCCGCGATTCGAAAGACGCATTTGCGAGGGATACACAAAATGGAGACGATTACGTTGACTGTAAAAGCTCCAACTTTCATTCAATGCAAGAAACTTTCAAGAGAGAGAAAACGGAAAAATAAACAAAATAATTTTTAACCTTGTGAAGGGGCGTTTTGACACCCGGAGAATGACTAGTGATTGTAATTGATTGATTATCAATAGTTTGGATATGTCTTATGTATTGTTTTCAGTTTTATACTTCAAATAATATAAAATATAGCCAATTTTGTTTCAAAAGTTGGTAGTTATTAGTGGCCTAGTGCAATACATAACCTATATGATGTTTTATGACACCGTTTGTTTCGATAGGAGATGCAGCTCATCATTATTGAATTTTTGTTGATATGTATTTAGAATTTCGTTGAGAAGTTGAATGTGTTCTGCTTTGATTAATTATCGTGCTGATAAAGTGCGCATTAAGTATTTCATAAATTAATGAAATAATAAGATAACCAATATATTTTTAAAACCTTAATGGGATTCAACGCCTCCCAAAGTGGCCTCCAACTCAATTTCATTCGTCCGGATATAGCAAGATCCAAAATTTTTATTATTGTAGTGAAAAGAAAAAAATATATTTTCAAAAACTGTAGAGTTTGTTCGAAAGAACTTTTAATTGTTTCCAAGTATTTCTGAGATTGTAAGCACTAGGATCACAGAACTGTTATATTTCTGAAACTAAATTAATAATACTGTTATCCCGTGTAAACATTTTCAAACATTCAATTCTTCAGATTAATTTTAAATGATAAATTCTGTCTATTTTTCCAAACTGTCAATTTTTAGGATAGGAAACTGTTTCATCTCTAAATAATATTTCATTAAATTTTATCTTTGTTGTTCCCACTCTCAACCTTACTCTATCGGAAGTAGGAACATTTAGAGTACAAAGAAATGAAAACTACGAAAGCAGACTTAATATGTGCGTAGAAATTGGGTGGGAGGCAAGATATGAAAGTCGCATCTATATATATGTGCATTAATAAAATATCATAACATGCAATTGGCTTTGCGTGAGTACTCATGGAACCTTATGAAGTCTTATTAACTGGTATGATTATGAAAGTCAAGGTTACACAAGGCTTGCAATTTTCTTCGAAGGTTGTACTTATCTTAAAACTTTCAACAAAACTCAACAGCAAGACGTAGGGAATGGAGTCTCCACTTTGAGTTCCTTCATTATTCACATCAGTCACGTTAGTGTACCTTGGGGTTTGGTGAGCTTGCAAAATTCTGTCGCTGGTGACGATGGATTTATTCAAAGGTTTTTTGATCTTCGGGATGGATATCGTTCTTATACCAAAACCAACAATACATGTCATTTATATACATGACATATCTGTACATTACAGTGAACTAAATATCACAGAAAATAAACTTGATACAAACAAAATCAAAGTAGACTGAAAACCACAAAACAGAATAATCAGCTAATTGATGCGGTTCCATCGGCCGCAGGGAATCGTTTTCTGGTACTAAGATTGTTTTCAGGTTAGCATAAGTTTTATTCGCAACCTAACTATTTGTACGTATGTACCAATGGTAAGCATTTCGCATTTTAATCCAGCAATAAAGTCCAGCACCGGCATTAATAAGACCTCACTAGATAACTCACGTAGCCTCGTGGCTAGCTCCTGATCAGCGTGCTTGCTTTTTACTACGCGGCCCCGACTTCTATTCTCAGTCAGGCAAGATAATAGTGTGCGTTTTCCTTGCATTGTCTCAGTATATGTTGCTGTTCATTTCACAGGTTGAGAAGACCGGAATACGCGTGGGGATATCTACGTGCTAACCATACGAGCCCCCTTAATCCATGGCCGCGAGGCAGGGACGTCGCCAATAGGCCTGAGCCCGTTCACTGGATGTCATGCCGCATACATACATACATACAGAGAATTCACATGAATTAAAGTTGAACTAACTCATATTAACAAAAGTTCAGAGAAAATCAGTGAGTCAAAACCTTCAGTAAATAAATCATGACAAATAATTAGAAGGTAGGATTGTCAGAGACTTTGAGCTCAAAATGATGGTATCTGTATAATATGAATTCAATTTCTTATAAATAACAACCAATTCTTTAGTTTAGTACGTTGTCCCTAGATTAATTTATTGGAGCGCTGCTGGTCCACACTCGTCGGGAAAAGGTATCATCTATCTCTTGACAATTTCTATTGATTAATTCTGTCCCAGAATACCTTACTTTCCAAGATTGTAGCATTATAATATTGTTGATATGAGTTATTAGGATATTTAAATCGATTCGTTTTTTGTACTCGCCCGTGTATGATTTTATACATATTATCGTGACTAACTCTGTAGACATCAAAGACACAATCAGCGAGGTGTTTTTTATTCTGAGCACGACACATTCTACTTTACTGTGGAGATGTCTCTTATTAAAAAACATATAATTTCTTGCTGCAATAACCTGGACTTCAAAGGCTATCAAGAAGTGTATGATGGGTTCAGTAAGTGTCTCACGTGTTACAGGATTATAATTTATATTTGTTCTATTTTATTGCAATTTTATGCACTTCATATTGTTCTTGTGATCTAAAAAGTTTCAGCTTCGGCCTCGTATTTCAATATTCTCGTCAGTTTTGCTCGTATTTCTTCCGTTCAAAACATATCTATATCAAAATGTATTCCGTTATTTTCAGAGAACGTTTAAGTGATAACGAGAAGCAGCTTCTAAGAACTAGCTGTTACTGCCCCCAGATTTGTTCTATCATCAATACACGATAAATAAAGGTGTTCACATGAATAATTCTGACGCTCAATACTGAATCTCTTTGTCAAATACCACGGTTTATATTAATTTTATCTCTATTAATATATTATTGCGTCATATGCAGTATTTCGATCGTTCCTTTGGTAGTTACGATTGCACTGTTAGTTTGAAACGAATTTTGTATGTTTTTAGTATTGGCGACCAAATAATATCCTAGCCAGGTATTTACATAAGCAGTACATTGGTTTCTTGGTATATTAGTTGCTCGTTTTATGCCTAATCAGTCGACAGAAAAACGCAAATTTTTTATTGTGTTATTCCTCCCATTTTCAAACTAACATAATTACCTTATCCTTACCTAAATTCTCAGCCTTACTCAGTGTGGCATTTCTTACGACACCGCTGACGTATAAAGAACGTGTCACACTCACGCAACAGTAAAGAAATGTTGTACTGTGTATATGCGGTAATACTGTAAAATGCCATTTTTTGTTTCGCGAACCGGCCAACATGGGTACAATTTTAAAAAATTACTTTATTTGTTGACTTTCTAATAGTAGAATCGAATTAATACATAGTAAAACCTCGTTGTAAACAGCAATTTTCATTGAAAAATGTGGAGCCGTTGTTAAGAAAATAGCATTTAACTGCTATGTAAATTCGAAAATCGAACCCTTTTATCCAGAAAATTTTTGACTTTTCGGAAACCTTCATATGATGCCATTTTAATCACTACCAGTCGCAAATGCAATAATGTTTACAAATCACTGAAAATGTTTTTGAGAAAATGGAGTTTGAGCGTTTTTGAAAAAGCTGGATTTTGAACTCATTTTCACCGAAAAACGTTGAGTTTCCGGGAAAATTTATCTCACATTATTTGAAGAACATGTATTCATAAATACATTAAGGTAAAGGTATTATCGCTAATGTAAATATTAACGACGTGAGAGACAAGTCAAAAAATTAAATTTTTGTAATTTTTGAAAAAAACAAAACGGTACAGCAATATAGCATTTATGTCGTAATATAGTGCATTTATCACAATCCCTACCAAAGTATTAAAGAACAAAATTGGAGCCGTGTTTGAGAAAATGTTGTTTTTCTCATTTTTTATAAATTGTACACATTGCTCACAATATTGCGCAAAAACTATTAAAACTTTCAAAAATCTGTTATTGACAGCTCATGACATGAATGAAATCACGCAAATTTTATTTGAAAAGAAAAACACTGTCTTGAATATTTTAGTTGTAAGAAAACGCAAAAAAAGTTTTGAAATTCTGTAATTTTCGAAAACTCTGAGTTAAAGTTTAAAATCTTACTCATAGCACCTTATATATATATATATATATATATATATATATATTATATTAAGTAATTTAACTCCATTTCTTACTAAAAAGTTTAAGGAAACAATTGATGTTGTTATAGGAAGTATTTCCGAATCCTGGGATGGAGCTCGTCATGTATTAAGTTACTCACTCAGGATATTTTTAAAACATGTTTTTAGTAAAATCTAAGAATTCGAGTCTAGCCAGATCGACGCGGATTTTTTCAATTTGAAAAAAAATCCTACATATGATGTAGGCGCTAGTAGTGTTCATAAACGGACAGATGGACGTTTGAAAAATCACTTTTTCGGTACCTGCGGACCTCAAAACTTGTATTTCCGTTGAAATCTCGAAATAGATTTTCCGGAGAATTACGTAACTTTTCCTGTACCACGTATTTTAATCCGTATATACGTATGAATACGGGAAAATAATAATTGAGATACTGATCATAATAAAGAATTACATCACAGATATTGCTCGTGGTGACCTAGTGAGAGAGCATTAATTGATTCTAGCGCGACAACCACTTAGGTCATCAGTCACGAAGTGCGTTCCTCCCCTGCTGGAACGTGAAATCCGACGTCAACATATGCGGTGGCTTGCGGGTCATCTTCACTCAAGGTGTATTCCACTGCTAAGTCAAGCTCTAAGTTCACGTTTGTCTCTTGACATATACGTGTACGTGGTTAGCAGTCAATTGGTCTACAGGTAAACCTCCACTACCGGAATATCCACTCACGGAAATGTCCATTCATATGTAAAAATGTCCACTTCATTTCAGGTCCAATTATGTTTCTTCCAAGTTATTAATACTTCCATTGCAGAAATGTCCTGAACATACAATGTCCATCGTAATTAACATTCAGAGAAATGATACGGAAAACGGTGTGTCATGGACAAAAATCTACTGCAATATTATTGACTTTTTAATGAATTACGTGTGAAAACCAGTGATTTCAAGTTTTCACTACTACTATAACCAGTGCAGTTTCGTATGTTATGAATGAGCTCGTAGATAGTGTTTGTCAAATTTGTTGTGTTTGTAACCCCGTTCTACCGTCGGCTAGCGGGGTTTACTTCAAACCACTTATTTCCCACTAGCGGGGCACGACCAAACCGGGACATTTATGCGAATGAATAGTTCCATAAATTAATGATCATTGCCAACCAATGTTTTTTTAACGAGAATGCAGCTTTCGAAAGGCTTATGCCATCTAACTACAGCTTGTCTGCTAGAGATTTGGGAAAGTCCATCAGAAAACGGAGTTTCGTTTCGTGCTTCCATTCTAGACAGCATCAATGTTGATGAATGAGAGGCTTAGGCATTCGAAAGCTTTGCTTTTGAATTAAAAAACATTGTTAGGCCAGGGGGTGACTATACCTCTTTTAAGGTTTCTTTTATTGCCAAAGCAGTGATCTACTAACGCGAACTCTATAATCGAATCCGATGATATACTACAGGATAATGAATACCTATTTATTACTGCTAATGATACTCTTTCTATTGAGGCATTATCAAATCTGGCAGATCCTAAAAATGAAATAAAATAACTTTTGTAAAAGCCCCATAAAATAGGGTGGAAGTAAAAAACTATGATTTATTAGTGACTCAGTATATTCAAGAATATGTACTGAAGGTAACTACAAATATTGAATATTTGTTTCCATGATTATACTATCCAGGTGACAGGCTACTTAATCCATAGTTATTCCTCAAATTTTTGTTCCTTCTTTTCTAAATTTCAAGTACGAATTAATGTATGAAGATATAGTCAGATACTTCCTAGATTTGACTATACATATGGAAATGATAGCAAGTCTGCAACCATCCAGAACAAATCGCATTTTCTCTGGAGCCCAAGAAAGAAGTAAATACTTCCCCGGCATCAAGCACCGTAACTGTGCTTCTGGGAGTCACAACCGTGCGTAATATGCATACATATTTTAATTTTAAAATATTTGCTTTATGTCTCTTACGTGAAA